CAGCTAATAATTTACCCTCCTTCTCACGTCCACCCTTGGCAGCCCTTAAAGACTGTTTCTTTTAATGTGATCATTTTTTCTTGACCTTTTATAATAGTGGTCTCCTACAAGAGTTCCCCTTTTGTGATTGAGTTCACTCTGCATATTCTAGATCCATTTCTACTGAAGCAAGTATCAAGACTTCATTTCTCCTATTTGCTGGGCAGGATTCCTTTCATGTATGTACAATATTTATTTATCCACGTGTGTGTTGGTGAGCATTTTGACTTTTGTGGATAAGCCTGCAAAGAGCACTAGTGTTCAGGTCTCATTTTGAGTCTCTGCTTTCGAGCCTTGATGTGTAGGAGGGGAATTGCTGAGTCACATGGTAGTTTCTTTTTTTTTTTTTTTAGTTTGTTCAAAGACTGTTGGTTGACCTTTAGGAGTAACACCATGTTTCTTTTTTTTTTTTTTTTTTTTAACATTTTATTAGGGGCTCATACAACTGTTATCGCAATCCATACACACATCAATTGTGTAAAGCGCATTTGTACATCGTTCTCAAAACATTTTCTCTCCACTTAAACCCCCGACAGTAGATCCTCAGGTAGTTTCAATTTTAGTTTTTTTAGGCACTGCCACACTCTTTGCAATGGCTGTCCTGTTTTGCATTTCTACCATCAGGGGGCGAGCGTTCCAATTTCCCCTCATCCTCACCAACACTTGTTATTTTCTGGTTTTCTTTTGCTTTATCTTGGCCCTCCTAGAGGGAGCAACATGGTATCTCACTGTGGTTTTGCTTTACATCTCTCTGATGGCCAATGATGCTAAGCAGCTCTTCACGTGTTTGATGACAATTTAAATGTCCTCTTTGGTGACATGTCTATTCAAGTTCTTTGACCATTTGGTGATTGGGTTATTTGGCTTTTGCTGTTAAGTTGTTCATGTTTATATGTCTTTTGTTCTATAATTTTGGGGTGTTGAGTTCTTGTAGGAGCAGTGAAAGAGAGGAAGGCTCAGGGAGGTGGACAGAGTGGCTGGAACAATGGCCTCAAGCACAGGAGCAATTGTGAGGCTGGCGCAGGACCAGGAAATGTCTTGTTCTGTGCACACAGGATGGCTATGGGTCAGATGGGACTTGATGGCGCCTAGCAGCAGGTTCTTGTAGGATATATATTTTCTCTCACTCAATCCGGGTAGCTTTTCTTTTCTTTTTTTTTGCAAAGCCTTTTGATGAACAAAAGTGCTAAATTTTGACCAGGTCCTTTTTGGTTATTTTGTCCTTCATTATTTGTGCTTTTGCTATTGCATTGTGAAAAGTCTCACCTGACAACTCTGCCTCCTTCTAAGCATTTTATAATTTAGCTTGTACATTTTGATTACTCCAGACTTATCATATTTTTGTGTATTGTGTGAGCGTGGATCCTGTTCCTTTTCTCTGCATGTGGGAATACCATCTTCCCAGCATCATTTATTAAAGAGACTCTTCTTTCCCCCATCAAATGGATGTTGCAGCCTTGTCAAAAATTAGTGCATTGTGGATGTGCGTTTATTCCTGTAGTTTCCATTAGTCTCAACTAATCCCACTCATCTCTGTGTCTATTGTTATAAGCGTACTAGGCTGTTCTGATTGCTATAGCTGCAGAGTGTATTTTTAAATTAGGAGTTACAAGTCCTCTTATTTTATTCTTTTCTTCTCAACATTGTTTTGGTTATTTGGGGTCTTCTGCCATTTCCTATGAAGATGAGGTTGGTTGGTTTGTTTCCTATTTCTATAAAGAAAGCTCTTGGGATCCTGAGCAGGACTGCATGGACTCTACCGATGTAGCACTGAAATGCTAACAGTATAGTCCCTTCTAGTCCATACACGCAGGACATCTTTTCATCCCTTTAAATCTTTAATTTCTTTCAGCAGTGTTTTATGGTTTTCATTGTATGCATTCTCCACATACCGAGTTCAATTTACTGTATACTCATTGCCATCGCACTGACGATGACTCAAAGTGACCCCATAGGACAGGTGAGATCTGCCCCTGTGAGTTTCCGAGACTCAAATTCTTTACGGGAGTGAAAAGCCTCATCTTTCCCCCCCAGGGCAGCTAGCAATTTCAAACCGCTGACCTTGAGGCTAGCAGCCCAATGCATAACCACTCCAGGGCTCCTTAGATTGATTGCTAGGTGTGTTAGTCCCTGAAGTGCTTTGAAAATAATGTGTCCCCTAATTTCCTTTCAGGTTCGCATTGCTGGGGTGTAGAAACCCAACTGACCGTGTGCCCTGACACGTGACTAAGTTCCCCTGCTAGCTCTAGAAGTTCCCTTGTGGACCCTTTAAAATTTCCTACGTAGGAACATGTCATCCACGAGTCGAGATCACTGCATTTCTTCTTTTCCCACCTGCTTGCCTTTGATTCCCTTTCCCTTATCTTAATGTGCTTGCTGAGACTTACTAACACTATAATTCACAGACGCGGCAGGCGCAGGTACCCTCGTGAAGTTTTAACTGGCTCATGTTTAAGACGTGGCTCACCAGGGCTTTCTCCCCAGAGCCTCTGGGTGGACTCTGGTTTCTGGCCTGTGGGTGAGCAGGAGGGGCTCCTGGAGCAGGAGGGGCTCCCGGGACAGAAGGATGTGGTTGCGGCAGGTGTCACTGGGTGAATTCCAGCTCACAGCGCCCCGAAGCATGGCCAGTCCATCCCCCTGCACAATACGGACCTCTAAGGGTCCGGGTGACAGTGGGACTTCGCTGCTTAGGGTTTTCAAGGCTATGGTGTGTGTGTGTGTGTGTGTGTGTGTGTGTAAAACTGTGCTTTATTTATTTTTAATGAGAAAGCCTTTGTTTTGAGAATAGAACCCTTTTTTAATTGGCATATAATTCACATATACCATTCAATAGTTCAACCGTATTAAAAAAGAGTTGTGCAATCATCATCACAATCAATTTTAGAACTTTTTCTTCATTCTTGTGCTCAGTTATTAGCTTCCCACCCACCCCCTCCTGCCACGCCCCCAAGAAACCATTTATCCTGTTATTGTCTCTATCGACTCACTGGCCCTGGATGTCACGTACAGAACAACATAAAAACAGCAACAGCACCCCCACCGACGGCAACAAAATGGAACAGAGAAAAACCTCAACCAACAAGAAAGCAGAAAACAAGAAGAACTGAAACCAATGTAAAATGGGCAAAAGGGCGATCAAATGATGGGGGTTAAGTGTTGGTCTGACGACACCTGCAGTCTCCCACTTTCCAACACTTTCCAACATGACAGCGAGGCTCCTCACCCCGGGTCTGCGCTCAGAGGGGACCCACAAGGGGCTGAATCCAGCGTGTTTCCCGAGGCCTCCTGTGGAACCAGGATTGTCCTCTCTCAGCTGGACTGCCCTAGTCCACAGGCTATTCTCTTTAGAGATCTCCCCTGGCCTTTCCCCAGGTCCTGACTTTGGCAATTTTCAGGAAAAAAAGAAAAGAAAAAAAGGCTTTCCCTGGCAGTCACACCGGGAAGCCACCATGCACCCAATCCCGGAGGAGGGTGTAGATACTCTTCATTCCTCTCTGGAGGCCCCACTATGCCCCGAGCCAACGTTCTCTGACACCCTTCTCTGGGACTCACAACATGTCACACCTGGCAAGGAGGCTGGAAGTATCTTGGTTTCATGTATCTATTTTATAAGCGAGGACTCGGGAATTGAAAATAAGTGACAGCTAAGAGGCAAATGGCTAATTAGCAACACATTTGAACCAAAGATGAACCTTCCGACTCCCCAAGTCACACCTGGCCGACACCTCTATAGTGCTGCCTGTCATCCCTGTCTGTTCTTAGTGTTGTATTGGTCAGTATTTCCTGAGTTCACAATTACCCTCACTATTTAGCTTCAGAGTATCTTTGTCACTCAGAAGAAATCTCCTGTCCACTAGTCGTCATTCTTCCTCTCCCATTAAGCTACCTTCTGTCGCTACAGACTGGTCTGGTCTGGGCATTTCCTGAGAATGGAATCATAAAATGTGTGGTATCTTCTGCCGCCTCTGTTATTAGTCCAAGGAATTTCCTGCACAGGTCAGACAACTGCAGCTCAGAAAGGGGTTTATAAACGCGCTGCAGGCAGTCCGCCACTTACCTGGGAGTCCCAGGCTGAAGACAACAGCTCATTTCCGGGGTGAGATGAACCTGTCTTTCTTTTGAAATCTTAAAAATGTTTTAAAATGTTCATTAATGCTGTCTTTTGATCAGTATCTTTATAGAGCTGGCCAGGTAAATGATAAAACTGAACATCTGTGAGTGAACACCTGAGGATGATACCATCAGCAAGTTCTGAGCTGCAACCTATGACTAATGATAGGATGGACCCCCAAAAGTTATGAGGTTTTGTTGGCACTCAAATAAACACACTGCTCTGTATCAGGGAGACGATCGTTGGGGGCTACCTATATTTTCAAACCCCAGTCTGACTCCTCCCACTGTGCGCCATGAGCTGTTGCTCTTGAGTCACCTGGAACTCAAGGTGACCCTGTGCATGTCAGAGTGGAACCACTTTCCACAGGGTTCTCAACAGCTGGTTTTCCTAAGGGAGATCGCCAGGCCTTTCTTCTGTGGCTCCTCTGGGTGGACTTGAACCTGCCTTTGGTTTGGAAAGGGCACTTTCTGATTGTGTTGACTGGCAGCCTGGAGCTACTCCCTCCCTCTTCATCCGGCACATACAGTCATAGCCAGTACCCAGCACCCACATCACCACTGCCACTCAACTGGCCTTCAGAGCAGGACTCCAGACCACCGGGTAAGGAGCTCCCACGGCACCCACCAAGACCGAGAGTATATTCACCGGGTGGGACCTGCGTCCCAACTTTTCAGCCGAGCTCCACTCCCCAGACGCTGGCCAGTGCGACATGTGTTTGCCGAAGCATGGCCACTCCGTCCCCCTGCACAATACGGACCTCTAAGGGCCCGGTGTCAGCAGTACCTGTCCACCTGACAGCCTCGGGCTCTCGGGTCCCCTTTGTGCCCAGAGCGCCCCCTCCGCTCACCTTCTCCTTCATCTTCTCGACCTTCCTCACGGAGCTGCGGCGCTGGGGCCGGTCCTCCAGACGGAGCAGGTTCATGCTGAGCTCTCCCGCCTTGTTGAATTGCTTCTCCTCCTGCTTCTCGGCCTCCTTCAACTTGCTCTCAGCGCTGATGCTCTCCGCGTGGTACATGTGGTAGGTTTTCATGACCTGGGGAGATGCGAGTGCAAATCAGAGCCCGGCACCACCAATGCGGGCCAGTCTTCCGGCGGCACCAGCCCCTACCGAGTCCTGAATCCCATCAGACCTGCCCCTGCCTCTGTCCACAAAACACCCGGGGGCCCCATGTTTCCTTACTTTTTTCCCTTTATTCATATACGCTTGTTTGTTTTTTAAAAATCATTCTATTAGGGGCTCATACAACTCTGATCACAATCCTTTCATACATCAATTATGTCAAGCACATTTGTACATTCGTTGCCCTCATCATTCTCAAAACATTTGCTCTCCACTTAAGCCCCTGGCATCAGCTCATTTCCCCCCCTCCCGCCCTGATCTCCCCCTACCTCATGAACCCTTGATAATTTATAAATTATTATTTTGTCATATCTTACACTATCGGACGTCTCCCTTCACCCACTTTTCTGTTGTCCGTCCCCCAGGGAGGAAGTTATATGTGGATCCTTGTAATCGGTTCCCTCTTTCTACCCCACTCTCCCTCCATCCTCCCAGTATTGCCACTCTCACCACTGGTCCTGAAGGGATCATCCGCCCTGGATTCCCTGTGTTTCTAGTTCCTATCTGTACCAGTGTACATCCTCTGGTCCAGCCAGACTTGCAAGGTAGACTTGGGATCATGATAGTGAGGGAGGAGGAAGCATTTAGGAACTAGAGGAAAGTTGTGTGTTTCATTGTTGCTACCCTGCACCCTGACTGGCTCGTCTCCTCCCCGCAGCCCTTCTGTAAGGGACGTCCAGTTGCTCACAGACGTGTTTTGGGTCCCACTCTGCACTCCCCCTCATTCACAATGACGTGATTGTTGTTCTGATGATGGCTGATACCTGACCCCTTCGACACCTCATGATCGCATGCACATACACTTGTTTTTTATGATTACAGGAGCCGTATGTGTTCCCTGTCCACGATAGGAAAGCAAACGGCCAAGTGAAGAAGATATTGCCTCACTCCCATGGGCCAGAGATGACCACAGCAACACTGCAAGTTTTCTATACTTCTCTATTTTCACGCAGACTCTCTAGGACTAGAAACGATGCGGAGCAGTGGAAACAACAACCTCAGCACCATCGCCAGCAGCGGCTGCTGCATCCTGGTAACCTGCCATTAAGTTCTGACCAAGAAAGTGCCAGCTCCCCTGCCCACCTGTTAGTCTGTCGGGCCGGTGGGAGCCTGGGTGTGGCTGCGGCGCTGGAAGCTACACACTAGTATGTCAAATACTAGCAGGGGCACCCACGGGGAAGGGGCCCGGAGACCTACTTCTGCAGTGTAACCAGTGAAGGCCTGAGCATCCCAAATCGCTATCCGAGACATGGATGTGTGGGTTCTCAATGCATCATCGGAGGGATCGAGTGCTGGAGAGAGACAGCATGGATGGTAAAGGGGAGCCTCAGCAAAGGCAAGGGGAGCCCTCAGGGAGGAGGGCTGGCACTGCTGTCACAGTGGTAGACTCAAACAAAGCAGTGATCGTGGGAACGATGCAGGACTGGACAGGGATGCTACGTTCTTGTTGCCCGTGCAGCCACCGTGAGATGAAGCCAACTTAACGGCAGTATGAACGACAACCAGTACGAACGACAACCACCAGGCATGGCTGGTGAAGAGGAAATGAAACCCGCAACCACGTGTCTGGGGTAATTCGGGGTTCACAGAGTGCTAGCGCCAACTGGATCCTCCTTCAGACAGCCTCTCCAGCCCTGCTGCCTAATAACTCTCGCTCCGCCTCCCGAAGCAGCCCGAGAAAGCTCTTCCTCCGTGTGCATGGGCTTTCCAGAGCAACGCCCTCCTTATGCATGCGGGAATCGCTTCTGTTTGTTTGTTTCAGCTGTTCTCTTAGGTAGCATTTGCCTGGAAACGATTCTGTATCCAGCAGGAGTGTTATCAGATAGCCTCTGGTTATTCCATGCCCTAAATGAACCCATCGTTGGCTATCAATGACTTCCTGTAAAGCAAAGTTCACTTTATCACTCACTCCACTCCAGATGCTGTCAGAACAAGGGTTTCTTCAAGTCAGAAGAAATCCTAGGTAACATCTAATTCCACCACCAACTTTTACATAAAAGTGTAAACTTTTTCATAACAGGGAAGGAAAACCGAACCCCCGAGAAGCAAAATAGCTTGTCCAGAATCAAGAAGCATCTCAGACCACAGCTATGTAACCCCCACCACAATCCGGATACAGAGCACAACGGGAAAAGGTCCGCCAGTGCTGAGCCTCATCCCCCAGGCCTGGCCCCGGGCAACCTCCCACTTGTTCTCTGCTACTGTGGAGTGCTTCTGGAATGTCACACTGATACATGGAATCACACAATAGGAACTCCTGTGTTTTAGATTCATCCAGGTTGCTACATGTACCAAGAAGTCCTTTTTATTGCCGTCGTAGTCCGCTGAGTAGAAATGCCACAGCGTGTCTACGCATCTGTTCATAGTTATTTGAGTTGCTTTTCGTTTCAAGCAAGTGGAAATACAGCTTCTGTGAACGGGATTTCAGTGGATATATGTTTTTATATCTCATATAAATATTTTGGAGTGGAATGGGGGTCCTATAGAGAAATGTACATTAAAAAAGATTGGAAATATGCTCTTTTGTCTTTTAATGAAGCACTTTCTTTTTTAACCGTATCACACTCCCTCCTGAATTCAGTGTCATTTTCTCAGCAGAGGTGAATTTTGGGGGCAGTCACAGAGCAGATGGGGTAGTCCCAACCAACACAAGCAGAGACTAGAGGTCAGTCTGCTTGCCCTCCATGTGACCTTTGTGAGCATTTGTCTTCCCAGAGGCACAGATCGAGAAAACAGGACAGTGTCATCCACCCAACCCTGCAGCCCCTCCTTTCAATACAAAAGTAAGCCGGCAGAATCTGAGCATGGACAGCATCAATACAAGGACCTGCTGGCGGCAGAGTCAGAATCAGTTGTTAGGACCCAGCCTCTTGAGAAGGCAGCCCGTGGGCTTCCTCTGTCCCCCAGGCAGGGTCTTTCCCAAGCACAGCCAGCCGTCTGCATCCAGTGTTTGGGTCCAGGCTGACTGTGGGGCCAATGCGTGCCAAGGACACCTTTGGAGGAAAGAGAAGTGTCTCACTGGACACTCCACTCACACTCTAGCTGTGTGTCCCCTCTGCAGACTTGCTCAGCTCCACAGCACTCATGCACTTTGCATGTTCGTAGATTGCATCCCCCCAGTGCAAGAGGGCAAAGTCCGCGCGCGGGCAGGACCTCGATGGTGATCCTATCTCCTGTCATACGCCAAGACCAGAACTGGAAGAACTGATGTTTATTTACAGGGATGGATGGGTGGCTGGATGAAGGGAAAAGGGAGGGAGAGAGGAAGAGGGGAAGAGAAAGGGGGAGAGAAAGCAGGGTCAGGCAGGGAGGAAGCATGCAATGGGATGGTAGGGTTTGATTGTCTTTGACCTGGGGGATGTGCTGGAGAAAGAGGACAGCTATACCTCCTTCATGAATATTTATAAAGTAGTTGACAATGTTGGGAAAAACCAGAGGGGCAGGTCTCCCTGCCCTGTAAGGGCACTGTGGGTCAGAACCGACCCAATGGCAGTGAGTTTGGTTTTAAGTTTACGATGTGTCAGGCACAGCACCAAACAAAGCCTGTCATGATCAAGTCAATCCCCCTTGGTAGCGAACCCACGCATTACAGAAAAACCCGCTACATCGGGTTTTCCTCAACTACTTAATCTTGCCAGAAGCGGAGCTCTGGGCTTTTCTTGGCTGGTGCCACTGGGTCGGTTGGTCAGCAAACTTTTGATGTATAGTCAAGCACAAGCCAGTTGGGCCAC